GGGGGGGGGGGGGGGGGGGGGGGGTGTTGACTTGAATCTTGAATATAATATGTAAATAGTCTTCACTCGTCTTTTAAACTTTCAAACGCGGACACACTTGGATTTGAAGGCTAAAATTTCGACTGTGAGCTGTGAACACTAATTGGCTTAGCTAAACAAAAATCCCGACTCTGAGACTATCGTATGATTGGACAAAAAATGACGCATTTATCCTTTAAAAGAAGGGCCCTGCTACAGATTCAGTTCTACAGAAGCACTCTGGAGGATTGCCGATTGTGTGACTCTGAGTCTGAGGTTCAGTTTACAAGATCATTGACCTACTTTAAATTTGATTATCAAATCTGATCGCTACACAGAGATCATTGATTCAATTGTTCATAAACCTATTTATGTTATGAAAAGATTACATACAGATGTGACCAAAGTTTGGTATGTAAGCGTCACATCAACCATCTATATAATAGTCACGTTTAGTGTCATATAATCATATTTTTTTATTGAAAAATCAATTTTGAAATTCTGTGATGTTTCAAATATGATTTACTTTACTATTTGAACAACAGCTGTCTTGAATTAAGTTTAAGTCTACTATTATGTCCGCTGATTGGGCTAATGAAGACGGATAAAGCCCCGCAGTGTGCAATGAGGGAATTGAATTGAGACACAAGGTTACGAATCTCAAAGGTTGTAGGTTTATTTTCAAATTTCCCGTATTATAACGACATGTTTCATACTAAAGGATTCCTTTTATTTATATTATTTACGAGTTCCAATCGTGTATTCATAGTAACAAAACAAAACGTCAAAGATGCGTAGTGATTGGCTTGTTTGAAAACATGTGACATCATGGGTATTTATTATCACGATCTCGAATATGGTTTATCAACGGAAGGAAAGCACGATAGAAGTATTTTATGGATTTGGAAGTGTACAAATGATTGCCCACCCCCCACCCCCCTTAGAAAAATGGTTTGCACCCCCCTCCCCTCCAATTGTACCCATGTTATTTTCAACAAATTTAAAGAAACATAGGATTTTTATACGTTTTTGCCCTAAAATATGTTTCAGAATGTACCAAATCAATTCAATGTTTCGAAAATCTTCTTGGGAGAACCTTCTCAGACGCTCTATGAGAGGCTGGCGACAAACACCTCAACAAAGTTACCGCATTTGTCCCTCTATTCATCTAGTTTGCCCTATTTGTACCTAAAACAGAATATTTTGTATGTCAGATTGTTCAGATCGTATCAGGAAAAATTTGAATATGAAAATTGAATCTATAAATTGATTCTGAAAATTGAAGAGTGTATATGTGTATATGAAGATGACATAGCGTGAAACAACATGTTTTTTTAGGTACTGTTTTAATATTTCTATTAACATGTATATTATATTTATATTGCAAGTTTATATCAGTGCGATTTTATACAATCTGCTGTATTAGGAATGTCGATAGATGGGGATGTTTTTTTATGTCTGAATGATACACTGATTTGAATCTGTTCTTTCGTGTGTCACTGTGCACAGTTTTGATTGGATGGTTTTATTTAGTTTTATTGGATTTAAAGGTCCAAACTTCGAAAGTAAGCTGTGAAAACTATTACTCATTGACATACCTTAAACAAATTCCCGTTTCTGAGCCTAAAGTACGATTGGTCAAACGAATGGCGTATCTGCCCCTTTAAGAAAGAATGGTGCACTTCTTTCAACAATTGGATTTGTTAATAGTACATGGTTCGATCTCTCACTAATAGAAATATGTTATAGCTTTGGATGCGTTGAAGAGACGAAGATACCCATTCAGATGAACTTGTTTCCAGTTCGTGCTGGGCTATGTCAGCTTCATTGACATACAATGGTTTTTACATTGAAATAACAAATATGATTCGAAGGTTTTATTGAAATAGTCTAGCCTTAATCAACATTTATGAGTCTAAAATGTGAATTAAATTCTTGTCTATTATTTCCATAGTTTCGTCAGTCTAATTAAAATAAAACCCAACTTTCGTTTCGTTTAGAGTAAGATCTAACGACTAAACTCTTGAACATTCGTCAAAATAACCTTTTGACCTAATCTGATGACATCTACTTTACCCAATCAAATTTCCTTCAATTTCTCACAAGACGCTAAGGGCCATATGCAGCGTCGTACTTTACCTAAACTTTGACTACTTCAGTCGAACTTGAGGTATGCGCCTATCGATCTTTACGAAAGTCGTGCTTAAATTCGACTATCAAATGTAGAAAATGAAAGCCTTAATCATAACTTTTTAAAATTCGACTTAAGCCAAAGTTCAACTTTAGTCAAGGTAAGAGTGCTGCATACGGCCCTAACACTGGAGAAGGTGTAAATTTGATTGGTTAAAATAGATGTCATCAGATTAGGTCAAAAGGTTATTGAAGAATGTTCAAAAGTCCGGTCATTAGATCTTGAAGTGGCTATACTGAAAATAAAACTCATAAAAAACGACAAGAAATTTGGGTCTAATTTTCATTAATCTGGTAGTTTCGTATGCTTTATACTGGACCAATAAGGGGAGATTCTTTTATTACATTTAGTTGATATAGACGACTAAATTCCGTTACAAAACATAGCGAAAGTGGTAGCCTCTCGCTATAGCATCCTGTTCTGATTAGTATTGGTGCCTCGAATCCACAGTCAATTTCAAAACTTAATTGAATTGTAGTTCCCTCCATTTGTATAATCTTGTAATAATAATGTAGCCGTACAACGGTCTGAATTTTGATCGAATATCTACCCTTGCCCAAGGAATATGCCAATAGATAAGATAGTAATCGATCAGTAGATGCGAATCGATATAAAATCTTTCGAAACGTTTTAATTTATTGAACGAAGGACTGGTGGACTGGCCAAGAAAATAAAATATACAACATATAATGTTAGTTAAGTTTTATTCACCTTAAAGGGATACAGCCGTCAGATGTGCAGTACCAGCCCAATTTGAGCTGATTATTTCATTTCAGAATTAAAACAAGACTAAAGACTATACCCCTTCAATATCATGCAATCCCTCAATAATTTTAAAAATATGTTACGTGTTTTTGTCTTCACAGTTTTTAATTCTTTGTCTTAACGATTTTAATAATTTACTATGCGACGATCCTTTTAAGGAACGTCCCGAACGTTTTTCACGATAATCACCGAGCTCGTCGAAAACGGAACTCTCAGTCGCATACTTCTGTCTTTCGTCGGATTTGTCTTTCCACATAAACCGGTTATCGTTTAATAATGCCGACAATTTTTTATTATACGGTTCATAAAAATCCCCGAGCAATTTCCGAGTTTCCTCTTTCATTTTTCCAAATTTTCTATCACCTTTCTTTCTGGTATTAGCGACTGGTTGTCCGAGAATATAATCTGCTTCTTCTCTGGTCAAATCCCCTGAAAAGACAGACAAGATAACTTTTGAAGGAAATTAATGGGTCCACAAAAAGATGTCGGAATACTCAGATGTCGGATATTACAGAGTACACTGCATATCAAATACTTGTAATTGGATTTTATATCCTTAGCTGTCCAAGCTTAAGGTTGTAAATGCAGCAAGGCATCTGTGATCAAAGCTGAAAACTTGGAGCCTACAGATCGTAGAACATCTTTAACAGAACGAAGCCAGCTTTTATTATTATGTATTCACCTTACACAGCATACTCGAATAGATCGCTAGAATATAATGAAAGGGAATGAGGGCTGCCTTACGACTGAAATAAACCTTCACCAACCGATGAATGATAGCAACATTCGAATGGAGATAACCTAAGAAATCACAGTTGCTACCACTTGCTATATAATGTTCTAAATACAAGACTGTCGCTAATTAGGCCTATGTCTACAGACAGAATCGATGAGATGCCTTCACACGCTCTTTAGCAAATTAATCATGATTACATGTATAAACCAGGAATTTCATCTTTTCTATTGCATAAATCTATTTTGAAATCTTTTCTTTCCTATAATCGGGCAAGTGTCTAATTGATGATAAGCCTACGTAACTAAACATTTCAAAGATATAGCAAATCTAAAGATCTGACAAGTTCCTTGAAAGATTTGAAAACGTCTTAATCATTCCTGATAGTAGACGTGGTTATCAGGTATTTACAAGGCTAGACGATAACACGAGACGCTTTCAATTTTTGATTAATCTGACATATTCCGTTTCTTTTAAAATATTTTAAACAATTTCTAGCCTACGCAAATGAAATCTGCTAATTTACTTGTGATAAGCGTTGCCGAAATCCACCTAATTCATTACTTCTGGTTGGATCGGTTGGCGCGAATGTATGCGATTGGAATTTAATACCAACCATATTTTGAATTAAGTTTTGAAGATGTTTTATTTAACTGTCATATTAGATCTCCTGGTCGATATGAATGTGTTCGATCGTTGTCGTCGATGGCCTAATTTGGGCATGTTGTTTGTTATCTAGTAGGACAGTTTCGGACTAACAAGTGAAATGATTCACGAATCAAAAAAGAGATATTTAAGTTTAGATTGCAATATTAAAAACTTCTACAAACTCCACCCTGTTCATGTTATCTTAATGGTCTACGTTTCCCCCAGCCATGGTGAATTACGAGTTTGGTTATCATTTCTGAATACATGCACAAACATCAGGTGCAGGTAGCCGTAAATTCTTATCAGCAACGTGCACATATCTTGGTGAAATTATATGCAAAAGGCGTTCTACCCTCTGAATCATCGGTAATCCATGACAGTTTCTATAAAGTAGAATGGCGTAATTTTCACGGTAGCCTGTTTGCAGCTGAATTACACTTGTGCCAAACAAACTAATTTGATAACGATTAAAACGTATTTGGTATGATGTATTTATTTCACACCTTTATAATATGCACCTGTTTCGCAATATGAGATATTCGCACGATGCATAAAAATTACATAGAATTTATAGGCTATTAACTTATAAGATTTGAACGACATATAGAAGCGAGGAGCACATATAACAATAACACAAGACAATATTATGGAATAATAATTTGTAACTTATAATTAGTTAAGGAACTTAAAGATGGATTCCCTTATTTTTATTTATGAAAATGAAAATGCTAATACTTATATGAATAGAAAGTAGAGGTGTTCTAATTTATGATCGGTTAAAACCCCTAACTATATGCAATAAGAACATAATAATACGATTATGAATACTTGATAATTCATTAGAAACACCAATTAATCAAATAGTTTTCTTAATTTGACACTAAAAAATAAGGAAACCATCTTTAACAGTCATACGCAGGACTCTCAGAGAGGCAGAGTGGCGTTTTGTATTTGTTTGCCATTTGTTCAATCCAAGCACAGTCCAAAGCAGAACCTTCTGATTTTTCAAAACTTTTCTGTACTGTTTAAGAACGAAAACAAATGTTGAGATCGTAAATTACAAGTTAAAATTACTTGAAACGTTGGAAATCGAAAAAGAAAATGGACCTTAGAAAAAAATATTTTTTTTTTCTTATTCAATCTTTAAGTGATGTTTTTCTGTGTAAACCTTAGAGTATAGATAAAACGACTCAAAGTGTTGCTTGTATATAAAGTTGTATTGTAGTAAATAATACCACAATGTATCAATTATATTTCTTTTACGTTTCTAGAAAAATATTTCCATATTCTTAATATTGGCCTACCACACTTTAGATGTCTAAAAATAACCCAGAAAACACAAAATATTTTAGACATTTTGTCATTTTTTGGCACGACTGAAGTAGTTGTATTCGCAGGTATAATTTATTTAAAGTCAAAACAAATGTTTTTAGAATCTATCAGCGACTGTTCTTAATTATCTTATAACTGAGTCACTGCTTGGTAGCTTGCCAGAAGAAATTCTTGTTGGACTAAAAACTAACTCTAATTAAGTCTTTTAAAATGTATAACAACTTTCATTTAAAGGGGAACTGTCTGTAATAACATGACCTGAATTATCGTTCGTCAAGGGAGCCCATCAAAGCTAGATCAGAAACAAGCCTTGAAAATATATATCTTATCGTACGATACGATAACTGAAATAAAAAACTTGGTTATATTTGGGCTACAGTTGGCAATTATTTCCATCTACGGATCATTACCAAATGCCAAAATCACATGAAAGTATTTGCATGTCCATGGCAAAAATAAGAAGAAAAATGCAAATTTAACGCATTTTTCGCCATAACATCTGGTGAAAATTTGTATTAATAATGAATGAGTAATATAATAAATCGGCTTTGATCCTTTTAAAAAACTGCGGAGTTAGCTAGCATTGATCACAATAGACCTATTATTCTTCTATATTTGATACAACCAAATAACATAGGCTTATCACATGGTATTCATTATTAATTTCATAATTTTATTTACAATGAATAGTCGACCCAGTTCCTGTGTGGTCCTAATCTATTCCTGTTTTGTATTTGAAACTGCAATCAGACGCCGATCTGCTATTTTAAGGAAATGCCAAAACAATTCAGGTCGCGCTTGAATACACTAATTTCGTAATAACTTCACTTACATGCTCTTACATGCAATTTTGGTGTTAGTCACTTTATTTCAATATTATATAAGGATGCAGTGAGGACTATTATTGCGTATCAATAACAACAAGTTTCAGGATGTCAGGTTTATAATTATAGCGAATAACAGCCTTCGAGAGAAAAACTGTAACCAATGTGGCTGAGCGTATAATAGAGGACTCTGATTGGTTATATTCAATTTTACAAACTTCCGCGAAACAAAAAAGTGACTTATTATGTCAATGAGCTTAAAACTTGTATTTTGTATCTTACAGTTCTTTTATTCACTAATTGTAGGCAGCTTCAACCATGCTTTTCATCAAAACAGAATACACCCGACCTTGTATTTAAGTGCACACCTTTTCTCATAACAATTTTTTTCTTTGATAAACATGTTGTGATGGAAACAACTTTTCTTGTGAAATGATGGTATTTTTCTCAATAAAAATAAACACAGGCACATTTTGAAATTATAAAAGAGAAAAGAGAAATTTTGTGGAGTGAGAAATTTGATAATTTTTTCATATTTTATTTCCTCTATTACTTTATTACAATCCTTTGTAACCATAAGCGTAGAAGTGGTCCCGTCGCTATTACATAATTCATAAAACAATTTGCAGTCTAATAATTTAAATTAGATGTTACTTCCGTTCGTATTTTATTAGTTTCTTGTCGAATGTTTTGATAGCTATAAGCTTTGTACGTAACCACTACAGCAAACGTTTGTTGACGTTATCAAATCGTTAATTAATAACGTTGACGCTCGTAAAATAATCTATGATATAGATAACGCCTGATGAGAAATTTATGATAACGTTTCAAATTTACAGTTTAATGTTTACGAGCTGAGGTCTTATCTCATGGTGTTGAAGATATATGTAAAAACTAACATCTCTGTATATTACGAATGCTGAGAAATGTTTGATAAAGTTTTAAGTTTACAATTTAATGTGTTTACTCTTGTCTATAGCAATGCAAACGGAAGCCTGAAATATTTAAAATTTGACATTTCGTCTAGTAGATTAGTTTTTGGGTCTCAAAGGACTTGTAAAATTTGAAAACAGGCCCAGAAAGCCATGTAGAATTTTGCAATCTGATAGCATAACGTTTTTGGCTATAAATTCTCAAAGATAATTGGATATTTGAGACGAAAAACAGATTACTATCTGCTCCTTTGATAAAGTTTTAAGGTATAAAGAATAAGAATTAAAATATCTTGATTTGTCTTTGAGATATTCCTTGATGAATAAGGTATATGATACCTTTACATTTATATCATTTGTCTTTAAAAGATTAAACCCGATTTAAAATCATAATTTAATCTAAAATCAATATAGGGTCATCGAAACAATAGTTTTCTCACTTTGCCAAAGCTAAGGGAAATTAGACCTACAATCTTAATATTGTTTTTAATGCAATGTTACGACCATTAACCAATATAACAGTATGGATATACATTGGTTACAGCAAATGAAATATTCATAAAAGGAAGTATATTATCTATAATGCTAAATTAAATATTTAGAAGGATATATACCTTTAAAATTCATATATCTGCTTTAATATTAAATAACTTTTTCTACTGTTTAGTTTGAATCCAGCATGCGGCGGTTGATAGACATGTTTTTATAAAGGTAGAACCGCTGATAAATTTATAACTACACCCCATTTAAACTTCTTAATAGATATTCCTTATGCACGCCATCAAGATATAACAGGTTTTATCATAAATATTGCAGGTTTTATCGTAAATAATAAACATTGCAGATTTCGTCGTTAATATTGTAATATGGAAGGTTTTATTTCTACAGGTAATCGTAAATATTGCAAGTGTTTTGGTAAATATTGCAAGTGTTGTGGTAAATATTGCAAGTGTTGTGGAAAATATTGCAAGTGTTGTGGTAAATATTGCAAGTGTTGTGGTAAATATTGCAAGTGCTGTGGTAAATATTGTAAGCTTGATCATAAATATTGTCGGTTTTATCGTAAAATTTCTAAGTTTATAGTTAATATTGCAGGTTTTATCGGGTTTCTCCGAAATTTTGTAGGTTTCATCACAAATATTGTAGGTTTTAACACAAATATTGCAGGTTTTATCGTAAATATTAAGGTTTTATTTACGCAGGTTTTATCATAAATATTGTCGGTTTATCGTAAATTTATTTTAACGGGTTTCTCCGAAATTTTGAAGATTTTATCACAAATATTGCAGTTTCTATCGTAAATATTGCCGGTTTTATATATTCAGGTTTCATCGTAAATATTGCAGGTTTTCATCGTAAATATTGCAGGTTTTATCGTTAATATTGCGGGTTTGATCGTAAATATCACAGGTTTTTACGTAAATATTGTAGGTTTTGTCATACATATTGGTATTCTAATATCGCACCACTATAGCATTCTTAATTTCATTTGACCCAGACGAGGTATTTCAATGTCATGTTAATTTTGATCATTTTATATATGGAGTGTCTTCAATCGGTTCGTTGTGATGAGTCAACCATTAGATAACCAACTATCCCAACCTAAAATTATGAGTGGTTTGGTTTTTAATGTCAACCCTCTCCTCGTAAATAAGTTAAAATGAGCAGTAGTTTTTATATATGATAATTTGAAGGATGGTGACTCCATATTATCCGTAATGTGATAAAGAATTTTCTTTTTTTTGTTAAATTTGTGTGTTCATTTTGTGTGTTTATTTACTTTTAAAGCGATACACACAGTGAATGAAATAGAAAACGGCCTATACAAATATAAAAAATACTATGGCTCACTGGACTTATTCCTTTTTTTCACTATTAACATGAAAACAATTTTTTCAAACAGAACGTAAACCCTGTGCTAGTACCTTCTGTTGAATAGTGACTTGTTGCTCAATATTTTGTAGGTTTGATCATAAATATTGCAGGTTGTATCGGGTTTCTCGCAAATATTGCATGTCAATAGAAACTGGTTTCTTTTCAACCACCTTCACTTGAAGAAGTAGTAAAAGTTGTACAAGCGTTAACAACAAACCACGCCTACTGGAACACACCGTGTTTTTATGTAGAATTCTAACGACAACCATCTGTGGCGTTGACTCAATAATACGCTATCATAACTTTTAATATCCCTGTAACTGGTATCTAACCTTTTATTAGACATTCACCGTGTAGTTATTTCAACGTTTTGACAAAATTTTACATAAAATAACACCAGTTTGATTGAAACCAGAATATTTCAATCATTTTTATATATAATCCAAGGAACCATCCTTCAACTTAGTTAATATTATTAACTGGTAGTGTATAGCTTTGAGATATTTGTGATATGCGTCGGATTACATACATGTACCGTCTGATTGGTTCTCATAAAGACAATTCTGACCAATCAGAGCTTTTTAATTGACTTCTTTATACGCGACAACTCAAACGGCCTCAGTTAGAAAGGACTGATTTTCGGACTAGGTAAAAAATTGACGTTTTACTCTTCGACCTCTTTACATCACCAAGAATTACCAGACATATGACAACATGGCTGCCTGACAATATTAAAATATATATCAGATGCTTGTGAAATTTGAAATATAAACTCGGATCGGATAGGGTTAAACAATAAACCGACAATTCTTAGCCCTTACTTAACCCTTTCGCTCCTGGTTAGACTTTTAATATGTTCCACATTGTTGATAAAAAACGGTGACGCTGCATAAAAAATACAGTGTTATAATATATATGACTGTCAAGACTATATCCTGTAAGATTTCAATATCTGATACCCCACTTTCTTATTGCTTCATCCGGCATCTATAATATGCACATTGCTAGCATATTCATATTTCATATTTCAATTAGTATTCAGTTTCTCAAATAGAAATCAGTATTATAAACTTATTTTTAATATTTCAAATATTTTAGAATAACAATCAAATACTTTAATTTCATACACTTCTATTCATATTTATGACGAGCAATAAAACTAGCCTACATATTCTCCAGAGACCCCTAAAGAAATAAGAACTAAGATTTCCACTCCAAAGTACAAACAATATGAATTACTTGAAATCTGAGAATTTGTACCATCAGACATCTCCATACAAAAACATATTTGATCAAATGATCTTTTTATAGACAGAACGGTTCAACTGCCATCTCCTAACACAACCACCAATGCACAGAGCCAACATAGCCACCTGTACAACCAACAACTCAAAATAGCTATCAGAGACTGGAATAGAGGCAGATGTTTCGGACAAGAATATAGGTAACAAGGTTGGTTTCACAATATTCAGAGTATTCCAGTAACAAAAAAATATACTCACTTAATCCGAGGAATTTAAAAACTCTTTTCATCACGTTCCTGATATTACTGGCATAGTCTTCCAGTCGCAGGATAAAAAATTGATCACGTGGATAAATATTGAGCCATGTCTCTATATAGGAATAATATATGCCAATTCTTAATCTAACCTACAATGTAGAAACATCATTTAGTAAGTTGTTGCTATAGTTTAAAGTAAAGGCTTATCTGTATTTGGAAGATTGTATTTCTGACTCCAACTGCTACCCTGAACACCTTAATTGATTCCATGCGTCGGGCGATTCTACGCTTATGGTTTACATATCCTTTAATTTCTAAAAAAATGCTCTGGTCCTTTAGATGCACGAAAAATTATCGGTATACATCCGTAATAGTATGATATCTCAAAATAATATATAATACATTAATGCATATATCTTTTTGACATCAATGGAATCGTTCTAAATAGGACACATTAATCAATATTTAAAAAAAATACTCACTCTTGCTAAATTAGCTATAGTTTTATTATTTATACAAGACGCGAAGGTATTTTCAAGTAAACAGGTTTCAAAGGAGTCTATAGACATTGCAACATTTTTATGGAAATCCTCAGCCGATTTCATTGATTTTAGAAAATAAAGATAATCAGACCACAACCTGAAAAAGATAGAAAACAAAACAATGGTAAGGATCACGAACAATAATAACAGACAACTGCCTCTGCGAAGTGAAAGCTCTGACATCATTCTAAATTGTACAAGACGTCGGCACTAACGTGTCATTCCGAAACGAGCTGTCGAAAACTATTTTCCATTGATGCATTGACGACTATTTTCATACTTATCTATGATTGATTTTTGTCTTTACCTTAAACTGAATTTTCATATATATAAGGACGAGAAAAATGGGACCAATATATAAGGACGAAAGAAAATGGGACCAATATATATATATAAAAGGACGAGACAAAATGGGACCAATATATATAAGGACGAGACAAAATGGGACCAATATATATAAGGACGAGAAAAAATGGGACCAATATATAAGGACGAGAAAAAATGGGACCAATATATATAAGGACGAGACAAAATGGGACCAATATTTATAAGGACAATAAAAAATGGGACGAAGATATATATATATAAGGACGAGAAAAATGGACCAATATATAAAAGGACGAGACAATTGGGACCAATATATAAGGACGAGAAAAAATGGGACCGATATATATAAGGACGAGAAAAATGGGACCAATATTCACAAGGACGAGACAATTGGGACCAATATTCATAAGGACGAGACAATTGGGACCAATATACATAAGGACGAGACAATTGGGACCAATATATAAGGACGAGAAAAAATGGGACCGATATATATAAGGACGAGAAAAATGGGACCAATATTCACAAGGACGAGACAATTGGGACCAATATTCATAAGGACGAGACAATTGGGACCAATATACATAAGGACGAGAAAAATGGGACCAAGATATATAAGGACGAGAAAAATGGGACCAAGATATATGGATATAGATAAGACGTAAGAAGCTATATATCAAAAGGTGTTTATTATTGGGGTGTAACAAGTTTTTAAATACATGTCTGATTGAGATAAAATAATGATAATAAACAAACCACATGAAACTACCGTTAATATATTTATCTTGAGTTAACACATTAAAAATATATATATTGCATTACTCACATTGTGTTGAGATTATGTCATTGAAGTATTTCAGTGTGTTTTATAAATTAGATTGTCTATGAGGACGTATTGCTTTAAAACTTTAACTTTTTAAAAACTGATTTGAGTGCCCTGTTTGCTTGATAAGAGCAGTGGCGTTTCCACGAAACATCAGGTGAGGGGCGAGCAGGGGCCACAAAATTTTCCATTTTAGGGGTGGGGGAAGGCCATTCGTTCACTATGTAAAATGAATAAAATTGCAAGTGGGGGTGGGGGTGGAGATCTGTAGAAACGCAACTGGATAGGAGGTAATGTATATGTCAAAGAAGACTTGTCCATGCTGTCTAACTCAAGGCGTTATCCGTCTTCATACAAGCAATTAGGACCAGAAAAGTATGATGAAGCTTAAAAAATGGTATATTCCCCATCCCGTTTGACTTTTGGTACTGGCCAAACCGAATATATAGACCCACCATTTTACATCTGCAGATAACGTGTAATGCCCTCCCCAGAACCATATTATACAACTCATGTGCATCTATTTGAAAATGTAACACTGCAGCACAGATTTAAACAGACATATCGTACCCAAGTATGTGATGAAAATATATACCAGCTGAATAAATAACCAGAGCTATTTTTATAAGAATACTTGTATGATATAAGGTGGAGATATTGTCTCGATTTATAAAGAATAGTAAACGGTGCCAATTGGAGTCTAGAGAAAGGCGATGATAATCTTTAACTTCAGGTCTCGGCAAATCAAATACATATTTTCAGGTTTAAACAGGCGATGAACGTATTATGACTTTGTTATTTCTGATATTAGAACTATTCGAGAAGGTTAAAGACAATCTGAAGTGGTATTCTAACGTTTGTGAGTTCTTCATTCCTGTTCCTTAAATAGCGGTACATAACAAATCGGAATAATGCAATATTAAGTTATTTTGTTTGAAACATCTTGGGATCCTTTTTATTACTCCATTCTGATTGTGACAAATTCCCAGATATCGACAAAATATTGGTTCTCAAGTGATCAACACCGTACCACATAAACGGTAATTGTTACGCTGTTACATTGTAGTAGCACAATGTGAGTTTATAGTATTGCCACAACAATATCTGGTGATTCTGTGGAAATAGCCAGCTTCCACGTCGTTTTATATCCCTTTTCATCTATTAAATTCCAAAATTCCCCAAATGTTGGCAATAAACGTTCCACCATGACAGTTTTACGGAGACCATTGTAAATTAGTGTCAATAACCAAACGGTCTATAGTCTAACAAGGCTCAACTTTACGGAAACCATCACAAATTGCAAAGTGCCCTGTATCACGATTCGCCTGAAAGAACCGAACGTTTCTGACCAAGTTAATCGTGATGGGCGTTCGCCGATCTTTCTTGTTACACCACCTATGTGGTAAGGCGCGGTGGCAACATTTCAGCATTTATAAATGTCAAATAAAGCCTCTAGTGTATTTAAACATGCATTCAGACTGATTACAGATGGTTATCAGCTGATATTACTTTATACGTTTATTCTAATGTAACAATATTATGTTCTAACAATGTATCAACCATCGGAAATGAAATGGGCTGAAATGCCCTTTTTCCTACAATTATTGTTCTCGGAATTTCTAAATGCTATATAAGGCATTACTTTCACCTATCTAGAATCAATGTAAAGTTATTATGGAGTACGTCTAATGCCTTGACATTTTTCTTCTTTGATGGTCTTACGATACCTGCCTTCAAGCTTGTAAGAGTTGAATACTGAACCAATCAAATGCCTTGTTCGAAAGCACGATTGCTTCATCTGATAAAGAGTTACAGACACAACAAATTATCATTTACAGTCTGTCGGCTAGATTCACTTACGTAAATCAAATCACCGCAACCACAAATGTCTGTGATGCAAGAAAGGTATCAGACGGAGTTCGACATTGTGAATGTGATTCGAGATAGGTGAAGGTGATGTCTTTGCATTTGTTACGAAGTTCGTAATGGCTTGACATTGTGAAGATGATCTAGTCGCAGGTGATTAAGGAAGAAGTACAGTAAATTTTACTTACCTATCGACAGGGTCCCGTAATATAACGATAATTTTAGCGTGAGGTAAGAAATGATGGATATAATCTGCATTGGTGAACCGTGGTTCAGTCGCACCACAGTTTTCTTTCAGGCTCCACCACTCGTCATTATCCCAGAGAGTTGATGCTGAGGCATCACCTATAAATAGACAACATAAAATGAACCATCTCTGTTCTATACGAAACTACGTATGGTTCTTACGTAGAAATAACACACGCGAACATAGTTCACAACAATTTTGAATCACTTACTCGACTTAATAAATCGAATTTTGAACAAGCCTTTAATATTTCAACAAAGCCTTCAAAGCATATTTCTAGGTTTAGAAATGGCCTCAAAACCTTGAATTGGCTTCTCCCAGGGCAGTCTGATTTTCAAAATGTTTCAATCCCAACCTTTAGCTTAATTTTGTCTTTAGCTCAAGAAGTTAGTAATTTCCTTAACAAATTCGTGTATTATAATGATATCAATAGTCTCTACCTACGACCTAGGTGCTTCAATATAGGAGAATATTTCTTAGAATACTTAATACACGTACTATGATATAATGGTCTCCAAATACAGTGTTAACTGCTGTTTTAAATACCGGGAGAAATAATGACACAGGGTGTGTCTTTTGACAACCATTCACCACGCCAGAACCAACACTATTATATATTCATTATATAAACATTTCCTGTTATTCTTTATCTCAGAAGAAAGGTTTGTTTAAAGACATATTTTGTTCGGTTATGCCTCGGCTTAAATGGCACCAATGGGGACTCGAGTTACAAACACAACAAGAACTCGATCTGGTTTTTCTTTAATTAAAAACAACAACAGCTGTGAAGGTCTATCACCGCGCTAAAGACTATTGACATGCTACCCCATCTAGTTAAAATAAACCTTACATTCCTCCATTTTTACTGCTTGATTTTAAGATAATAAACGTCAAAATAAACGAGAAAATTCCATTTCGTTAATAGCTAAAGTATTTTTTATAATTTAAGTGTAAACGCCCGCATTAACAAAATGTAATCATCATTTGTTAAAACTTGCACACAAGGTGTATTTTAGATAAGAGTGTTTCAGCATCAGAAATAGTGTTACTCTAATCTGCACTGATTACTGCTTTCGATAGATCTCTCGTACATCTGAAGACTTCAATGGGTACATGTTAAAAGGACTCTAAAAGATCATCTCTTAGGGTGATAAAATTTTTTTAATAGTTGCCAAATGTGTGTATATTCATCAGTAGACTTCATGGTGTGATAACTATTCAGCAGCATAACTCTTTAACCCGATAAATCCATAAACAAAGTATTTATCCATGTTATTACAGGTTATCATTGAAAAACGCTTAATATCTTTAAGCGTTCTTCAGTCATTACGTAGTCGCCATTTGTAAGGATTTTGTTGCTTTTTGTTATGACATCAGGTTAGTCCACATATGAATGAAACAAATTCTTATTTGCCAAGATTGAAAATTAAATTTGATGTTAATTTGAAGAGGTCTTATTCCTTTGAATAAGCTTTACGGCTTAACAGTTAGTCTGATTAAATGTATATTGTTTTACCTGTAATCAGTGGATGGTAATCCTCTTGGTCACCTGCTCGAGTTGAGTCGTGGACATGTTCAATGTACAAAGCTACTTTATCAAAGAGATCAGTATAGTCATCGAATGACAGGCTAGACGAATTGTTCGATTTCGAACCTACAAAATCACAAAAAAGACAATCTAAACACTAATACCCCCACTTTATTTTCAACATATCTTAAAATATGATTATTACACGTTTGTGCCCCAAATTTGTGTTAGAATGCACCAAATCAATTCAATTTTTAAAAATGTTGGTGGAAGAACCCCCTCAGAAGCACTATGAGTGGTTTGCAACTATGACGCCTCCATTGAATTGCCCTCCCCCCTCTTGAGTCAATCTGCTCCCTATTCGTACCACCGGAAACTAAATTACCATAAACGTTGACATAGTAGATCATTGATTCTCTTACGACAACTTATTGGTCGTTAATATGGCTTTACATTTTCAACTGATTAAAGATAATTGCCTGAATGCATGCTTTACCAAGCGATACAGCCCAATTGCCATCCATGTAATGGCGTTCAATCAATCTTGTCAATTTTGTTAAGGTGTTCTAGCTAGTTGTGCAGTACCCCCATCACATAGCAATACTTACCCGTCAGAAGGAAAGTCAAACTACTTCACCTTCAAACGCAAAGTTGGATAGTTTTATCCGTCCAGCAATGAAAACCTCATACGTCCACGAGAATATTAGATCCCTTAATCCCTCAACCCGTTTCTAAGGTGACGCAGCTTCTGATCGACCACTACCAAACCACTCTCCCTGAGAAGATTACCGCCATCTGTGCCACCACCTGCAGTCGACCGCATCATATCCCATGCCCTGTCTGGGGCTCGTCCGTTCTATTGGAAACTAAGTCTGTTAAGTCCATTAATACATTCTACCAATCCATCAACGAAACCAAGAGTTACCATATCTTTACAGACTGAAGATATGAATGTGGATCAACAGACGCCAGCACCAAAAAGAGTCACCGCCTTATCTAAAGAGACCCCGAAACAGACTCCAAGGCCCAGCCCCCTTTTCGATTTTCTTAATGAATTATTTGTTCCATCCTAGGACTGCACATTTGGGAGAATCAGCCCCCCCCCCCTTCCCCCCTCTAAAACGTTGTTCAACTTACCAAATCTCCTTCTAGCCCACCAATGATATTCTTTATTAGGAGGCATTGAAACATCCGGATGTGAAGATATCTTTTGGTACAGATCTGTACTGCCACATTTCGGCTGACCGGCAATAAAGAAATAGGGTAAACACCTCAATCTTTTAGGGTTCGAGTCCTCCTCTATGGTTTTCTGCCAGATATTGGTCAGTTCCCGAAACATTGTCTTCACACTGTGAAAATAGCCTGAAAACTTGTTATGAGCGTACACTGCCGGAACCGTTAGGTCTTCGTACCAGCACGGGTTTTTAAATTTAGGGTTATACCGTTTGGGATGCTGAAATAAACAAAATAATTTTTCATCGATCATGTTCTAGACTCCAAGGTCCAGATCGCGTATTCTCGAAACGATACCTCGACTGATGGAAATCGAAAAAGAGCAGGCTAGTGTTGCTGACCGGCCAAAATATTCCTCACTGCCCCCTGCATGTTGTTGCCAGTCTTCATTAGCCCAAGTGATGCAGAAAAGTAGGCTGTAATACACTGTTTCTGGGATGATCTAGAGCTAGGATGTCCTAGAAACAGTGTCAGAGTTGAGTTAACACCGTAGGACATCCAAACACTAATTCTAGGTGTTAACTTCTAACATTGTTTCTACGATATGCTAGCGCTAAAATCGTTTCGAGAATGCGTAGCCTGATTCATAAAAAAAACATATCTTTTACGTTCGTGAACGGGTTCCAGGGCTCAAACTCAAAAATCTTGTTTTTAACTTACTATAGGCGATGTCACGATGTTATCACGACCGTAACTAAAGATAAGCAGATGAGGCGAATTTGAGATAGATTAGATTAAAGATAGATTAATAAAAAAGAAATATTGTTTAAATAATAACTATACATATTTATGATAAGTCTACGGAAAAGTTGGTTACGCCCCCCCCCCCCCCCCTCAAATATGTACCTACCATAGACAACATTTCAGAAGTAGTATCCATCTTACTACAATCATAATATATTGGAGCTTTGTAACTCCTAGTATCACTTGAGCTTACAGGTTTACTTTTTATACTATTTACACCATCAGCGGCGTTTATCACATTCGCTTTTTCTCTTAGTATATTTCCAACATTTTGATCGAGTCCGTTTCCACTTCCGGTGTGGTCGTTCTTGGAACCGGAAGTTCGATATGACGACTGATACACAACGAGCATCGTCCCAAAACTGGCGAGAACACATATGAAGTACAGCAAGCGTGCTTGACGACGCGTTGCTAGGAATGGTAGTGTCCATCTTGAATCCGTTGCTATTGTAGAGTGCAAACATCCTTTTTTCATTTTATTGTAAAGCACTTTCACCGCAGTGACGTCACCATGTCACTGCTATTTTCTTTTTCTGTAAAGACACAAAATAATATATTTATTTACTCTAATAGACTACACATAGTGAACTGCGTAGAAATCTTGCCACAAAGGCCATAATCTGTGATCAAAATGATCATAAAGAGGCAGATTCGCCATTTTGGGGGGTTGATTTTGGGTCTCAAATATATGTCTTCAGAAGCAACAAAATGTAGATAATTCGCATAATTCCTTCAAAAAAAAACTCTTTCGCTTTCTATTTCTATACTGGACTCACATGGATTTGAAGGTTCAAATTTCGGCGATGAGCTGTGATCAATTTACTGATTGGTTTAGCTAAATAAATCCCGTTTCTGAAACTAAGGTTCGATTTGTCAAATGGATGGCAAATCTGTCAGAAGATTTACTTGTGATATTAATATTAAATATACTGAGGCGATGTTTCAATAAACGTGGTATGAAGACGTTTAATTAGAAGTTGAAATTTGCAACCTGAAACTCGGATCAATACAAAATTTCAAAGAAATAATTTTTGTTGAAAGCTTCCCTATATAGTAGTCTTTTTCCATTTCATCTGTCATGTCTTGATCAGCCTTCTCCTTAACGAGTCAGTCTCTACCTTTATGAGTTTTAAAGTACTTTTTCTGAACCGCTTCACACCAACCTTTGACCCTAGTCACGTGATCATATTAATATCATAATTTCATCCTTACATTTCATGGCTAATTGAGTCTGGTTGCTATAGTTACAGAGAGTCATTCATTAAGAACCATCAGAAACTACTTTTCTTTATGATTTCTGTACAGGTTGAAATAATGAAAGGTTTAATTGTTTTCGATTTTTATAAAAGGGGATTTACGTCATGCTGTTTTTCATTACCATCTGTCTTCAAACGAACCACTTTGTGCAGAGACGAAATTTAAACGAACTTTTTCGTAAAATATCAGCAACGAATACTGTATAAATGTGTCTAACTGGACAGGGAGATAGGAATTTTTGCCCCCATTCGGATATAAAAAATACACCGGTAGGTAGATTGATTACAAATAACGTAATGCTGATATCGCAAACTAGGTAGTTGTTGGTGGATGACAAGTTAACGTCTGCTTCCAGCTACTGGTATCGGGGCTAGGTAGTTTTGGTAGATGACAAGTTAATGTCCGCTTCCAGCTAACTGATATCAAAGACTAGGTAGTTGTAGATAGATGACAAGTTAACGTTCACTTCCAGCTGATGCTGATGTCGCAAACTAGGTAGTTGTTGGTAGATGACAAGTTAACGTTCACTTCCAGCGAATGTTGATGTTGCAAACTAGGTAGTTGTTGGTAGATGACAAGTTAATGTCCGCTTCCAGCTAACTGATATCAAAGACTAGGTAGTTGTAGATAGATTACAAGTTAACGTTCACTTCCAGCTGATGCTGATGTCGCAAACTAGGTAGTTGTTGGTAGATGACAAGTTAACGTTCACTTCCAGCGAATGTTGATGTTGCAAACTAGGTAGTTGTTGGTAGATGACAAGTTAATGTCTGCTTCCAGCTATCTGATATCACAGACTAGGTAGTTGTTGGTAGATGACAAGCTAACGTTCACTTCCAGCTGATGCTGATGTCGCAAACTAGGTAGTTGTTGGTAGATGACAAGTTAACGTTCACTTCCAGCGAATGTTGATGTTGCAAACTAGGTAGTTGTTGGTAGATGACAAGTTAACGTTCCCTTCCAGCTGATGCTGATGTCGCAAACTAGATAGTTGTTGGTAGATGAAAAGTTAACGTTCACTTCCAGCTAACTGATATCAAAGACTAGGTAGTTGTTGGTAGTCATAGTAGTAGGTAGCTGGATTGGTTCAATTGGATGATTTTGTGCTGTTGGTTTGGAAGTTGATAGTAAAGATACTTCCTCTCACCATCTTGTCGGATCATTTGAAACATAATACCAAAATGAGTGTTCGAGAGTTTTAGTGATTAACCAATCCAATGATAAAATCAAGATGAAAATTAGGATTTCGTGTTATTCTCTAGAAGCAGGGGTTCAAACAAAACCAAAATGGCTAGTATCAAAGTCACAGGGGGTACATTAACACGCCCTAAATATTATAAATAGCAACTCAACCATGGCTTTTGAAACGAAATATCAAACGAAACGGAATGTGTGACCCCTCCCCCCCCCCCCCCCCCTACACTTTCAATTGTTTCATATTCCCCTGCTTGTCCCCGTCACCTTAAAAACGCCACTGAGACAGACATAAGAAAAAACACACGAAATAGTGGTTTGATTGGAAAATGATCCTACTTTGCAAACAGTTAGTCATCATTAGTCAAACAACGAGTTAGGTATTAGGGGTTGAAAGCAGACCGGACCGACTCTCGGAAACACAGGCTCGGGTATCAGAATGGTTCTTATCTTGAAAAGGATTTGAATCCACATCACGTAATCGCCTAGCAGACGACAATACAACTTGCTACCTGATACGTAAAACTGCATTACAGTCTATTCAAGCTCGCATCTTGTTTTTAATTTTATTTCTTGTATAGTTTTGGTTAAGATTTTTTTAAATTTTCTTGATCCTATGTAAACTCGCTTGACCTATATTCGTGAAAAAAAGGAACCCAAACAATCGCGAGTTGAAGGTTTATGACCTAGAAGCAATGTAAGACGTCAATAACTCTATTGTATATAGACATATTCCTGTTATATTTCACAGCCGATTGTCATTTCCTGCTAGTTCTATAAACATACTTTAAATAGAATTATTTTAGTGGCACCCTGGTGGGCTATAAGGGGCTAATGGTTTTAAGATGACTGTAGCAAGGGGCCTTCCCATTTAATATTATATCTGGGCCTGAAACAAAGGTAGCATTTTTACGGGACGATAATCGTTTGAAGTTTTTAAATTTGAAGAAACAGAAAATTCGATCTGGCACCTTAATTTGTTTATGGCACTAGAACCAAATGAGGGGCATCTATTTCATAGCATTCTAAATTCCAGAGGTTTATTATAGTGGCACCGTGGTGTTTTATATCTGAAACTGCTCTTTTGAAGTCAATCATCCTCAAGTCCAGAGAATTACCAATGTGGCACCCTGGGGATTCTAATGACGACTTTATGAAGACGAGAACACTATCCCCATTCATAATGTATATCATTTGGTCTATTAGCTCAGATGGGGTTTCCAAATAGCTCAAACATGACTTAAACACCGGGTACCATTGTTCATTTTGTGAATAAGAATTAAGATCAATTCTTGAGGTTTCATAAGAGTGACTTGATTTATTTTAATAGTTGTAAATTTTTCATAGTTTAAGCGAGATGTTATTTATATATTTATAGCTTTCTTGACATGTGTTTATTTTTTTTTATCTATGATTCGTTTTAATAGAGTTGTTCACTTGTTCTGTTGTATCTTATCGTCTAAGTATTATAATGTTTTAGGCCGTGTCTCATAAGCCGATTAAGGCTTGGTATTATTCATCATTCTATTGTATTTGTTTGTATATACTGAATGTTATACGTGACACGTAAATAAAATAAATTATTATTATCATTATTATCATTATTGTATAGGTTAATAGGCAATCCTTCATTGCGTGCTTCGACCCCTAGCTCGGTACACTCTCAGGATGGGGGTCCACAGTAGTGATCAGTTACTGTGCATTGGCGGTGGTTTCCGGCTACTCTTCTTCCTCTTCATCCAAACCCAGCATGATGATCTTTCAGCTGCTTGAGCCATTCTCAGGTCTGCTGAACGTCTATATCTCCCCATGTCTCCCAATGCAAAGAGCATTCTCCACACTGTTTGAGCAGGAAATCCTTGAAAGATTTGATAAAAGGATTTTGGAGGTTTAAACCCATTACCAGGATTAAAGATGAATTGAACCATGAATAGTTCATTATGAGTAATGAGAACACACCCTTTTGAATAGTGACATGTTCCTTTGATTACCACAATACGTATGTGCAAATCTGTCAAATTAATTTCCAATTTGGCATGACCCAGACTGCATAATATGCATCAAAAGATAGGATAAATAAACTTAATATTGAGATTCCCTTTAAATTGTGTGTATACTGATGAGTATTTAATTCGGTAATAAAGTGTAAAGGTAGTTTTATTTTTGCGAGTATGAAAGGTAGAGTTCGGATTATACGTCTACGACCGTGACATATTGCCTAATACTTAAATAATAGCTTTATTATATATATATATATATATATATATATATATATAGTTGTTTTGGCATGACGTTAAATGTTGAAAATGGATTCTGCTTGTAATTATAACATAATACTGCCAAATTGGAATTTATACCCACGGTGTCTCGCTGAAGTAGTGGACTGAGTTCAACCACGGCAAAAATCTAGACTATACCTACAATTTGTCAGTCAAGATAATTATGCTCGACCAAAACGAATTCTCTCATTGCATATTTCCATAAGTCCAATAAGATATTAAAGCGGATCATAAATTTTTTCCACATTTCGAATGAAGTTTTGGCATTTAAGACTGTACAATTTTGACAGTTTTCTAGAATTGTATGACATTGTCAACATGCCAAATGTCTCTGCGAACATTACCCTTAACTATACTTAACAAGTGACATATTATTTCCGCTCTAAACTTCCTCCACAGAATCATCTAAATCAACGTCAACAAATTGATACATAGCTAAAAATTCGCACACTAACTAGCAATATTTCAACTGTTATAATAGTGCTCAGTACATTAATTATTGTACAGTGATATAGAAATACCACTGTTAAAATAGTGCTCAATACATCAATTGTAGAGTGATATAGAAATACCACTGTTATAATAGTACTCAGTACA